CGATGTAGGGACCTGACCGTTGGAAGGAATTTAAGGCTAAAACTTTCCTTGTTTGGAAGTCAACAGCCAAAACAGCGATGTAGGGTTTTTTGGACATCGCTGTTGGCATGACCGTTGCTTCCCAATTTTTAAAAAACCAAGCCTAGAACAGCGATGTCCAGGCCTAGGACAGCGCTGTCTAGGTGATTTTCAGCAGATCCAATTTTAATCAAATCCCACAAATTGTGCCAATCACCCCTTAAATGTTTTGGTCCGTTGGAGCCTACTTTTCCACTATAAAATGTGGTGTTTGGGTCTGTTTTACATATAACATTACTTCACAACTCCTACTCTTTCATTGCAAATCATTCTTTAATTATTCATAGCTTTTGAGAGCCATTTTTGTGAAGCTTGTGTTGTGTTCTTGAGCGTTCTTAGTTTACTCATATCTACTCTTAAGGAGAGTCTTTTTCTTGAGTGTTTTAGTGTTGTATACACGTTAAGGGAAGCTTGTTTCCCTTGGTTGTACGAAGGAAAGGTATTTTCCTTCGGGTTGAAGTCTTGGAGTGCGGTATCTCCGAGCAAGTGTTGTTGAGGCTCGTGGGACTCGAGTTCTCAGGTTGTAACGGTTTGTTAAGCACCCGTAAGCTTAACGGAAGTAGTGTAGCTCGAGAGAGTCTCTCGGAAGACTGGATTAGCCACACGTTGTGGTGAACTAGTATAAATCTTGGTGTGCTCCCTTTACGCGTTCTACGCTCTTTACGTTTCACGTTCTTAATTTTTTATTCCTGCGATTTCTACGATCAAACGCTATTCACCCCCCCCCCCTCTCTAGCGTTGGTCACTTTTTCTAACAATGTAAACCTCAGAAAGAGAGATCCGAATTCCTTCTCTCTAAACTCCCCTGTAAAAACACCCGTGCATTCTCTTTATTAATATAAAAAGGCTACAGGTGTTTCCACCTACAGTCTTACAGGTCATTCTGAGTGTTTACTTTCTTTACTTTACTGAATCAAGCCGACTATTCTAGACCCGGTCTAGTATAGTTTGACCGGTCAAGCAATTTACACCATCAGTTTTCATTGGTTATTTGATTAAATAAAATATTGTTGACACCTCTTATTTCGAAGAACTTTTTAGGGAGTTTTTTGATATGTAAATTTTATTTTTTATTTCTATACCAATATGTAAATAAAATAAATTTAATATTTTATCTCGAAAATACAAGTTTGACAAATATTTAGAAAGGGAGGAAATATTATAATTTCAAATGTCAATAGCAAAAAATAAAAAGTAAAATATCATTTCTTACCGATAATATATAATCATATTCACATGTTTTTACTCGGTCGACTTTATGGAATACAACAATTAATAATTTTGGATCACACAAAGCCACCAAACTTTGTTGCATATTTCTATTTTGGTTGGCTTCATTATTCCAAAAAACAAAAACATCTTGAAACCACGCACGCATGCTTTTTTTTCGTGATAACATACATTTACACGACTCAAAAAATTGAAATAAACCAAAAACAATAGCATCATCATAATAATAATAATAATAACAGTTCTGAGTGGAAGAAAGCCCCAATGGAATGGGTATTTCACGATACAAAAAAAAAAGAGAAAAAAAAAGATTTCAAAACAAATTTTTGTGATTCTTGTAAATCTGAGAACCCAATCTTGCAAAGAACCTATCTTTATCAATTCCCTGCCAGAGAGACACAAAGATCTTCAAATTCCACTCATTTCATATCACTTCTTTGGTTTCTTGATCTTCAATTCCCACAACCCAATCCTCTGGTTTCTGATCCTTTCATTATTCTCAGCCTCTTGCATGATGACAAGAACATTCTGCAATTCCCAATATCAGATCCAAATTAGCTCCATAAATCTTAGCATAATCAACTGTTTTGAAAGAAACTATGTTCCTAAACTTGCTAACTGACCCAAAAAAGATCATGTTTTCATAGCTATTTCACCAAATTTCTCAAAAATGGAGCTGTAATTGTGCTTTCATTCATGTCAATAAACTAATCCAACAAAAGCCCAACCAAAGTTGACACCATTAGAGAGACAATCTTGCATTGTATATGAAACACTAACAGTGTAAATCTTGGTTAATTATTGTATAAGGTTTTATAAAAACTTACTCCCAGGGGACATCACCAACAAGCATCAAGTCACCATCTTTGTCCTCATAAGCAGGTGCATATTCAGAGCCTTTGTAGCCCTCCCTCTCAGAGTACTGACCAATGGAGAGCTTAAACATGGCCTCCAAAGCCTTGAGCAGGTCTGGGTACCCACTGTACACATTCAGATCAATCTTTCTCAGGTATGGAGCCCCATCCATGCTCACCTTCACAAACATTCCACTCTCAGATGAATCTGCTGCCTTCTTCACCTGCAGATTGTTCTTCCTGTATGATCTCACTGGTGGCCAACCTATTATTGGCGCCCTGCAACAATTCAGTTTTACCATTTTCCCTTCAGTACTCATTCTCAAACCAACCAAAAATTCAAACTTTGCAAAGACAGTCACTGCAATTTTGTGTAGAAATCAACATAGGCCTCTAATACATGAGATTTATGAAAACTAATTCGACTAATGAAAGGTTTTATACAGAAATAATTATAAACCCTGGATAAATCAAGAAGAAGACAGGAGAACTTACTTGGAAACTGGGGAAGTTTTAGCAGAATCATTGTTGGCCTTGGATTCACAGTCTTCTTCACCGCCTGATTCAACAAGAAAGGATCTTTTGTTCTTGTTCTTGGGACATGAAGCCATTTCTTTCTCGCACTCTTCAGTTCCGGGCAAGCCCAGTCTTAGCTCGGTGGCCCTCAGATTCAGATCACTCTCCATCTCCACTCCTCTCTGCTGATTCTTGGAATCAAAGACTCGAACTTTACACCACAAATCTAAATCTTCTTGAGGATCTAGAAAGATTGGTTTTTTCCCCTAAAAAACTCTCTCTTCTTGATAAAGAGTGGGTTTTTTTCTCTCTTTTTATGATTGGATTGATTGCTGGGTTCTGAGCAAGTTGCAAGCTGGAGTATAAATGGGGTGGAGGGATTGATGGGAGACTTTGCTCAATTATTTCTTTAATATTTTTGGGAAGAAAAATTAAATTTTTTTTTCTGGTAGAAATGCATGAATTTGGGGATAAAGTCAAGTAATGGTGTCGGCAGTAGGAGGAGCAGCTTTAAAGGAAATGCTCTGTCATCGCACCTTCAGGGGACAGAAATGGGACAAAGGGTTAGCTAGCCCATGTGGGATGATTATGGAGGGCCAATTGGGAATGAACGGCTGAGATTTGTTTGGTGGCTTTTTGAGCAAATCTTGGCCGTTGGATTCTGTTTAGGTGGAAGGGGGGAAAAAAGAAAGTTGGGGGAAGATAAAATGGTGGACTACAATGTACAAAGTCACCAATTAGTTAACCACACATCACCCCAATTGTGGAGTACCCTTTTTAGGAAAATGAATTTTGGAATTTATTTTCTTATTTTTTTTAATATTTGGTGAAAATTGAGGTGATAGATTTTGACCTCCAACTTTAAAAAAAAAGAAAAATCAGTCAAAGAGATGTGGAAAATTTTCTTTTATGCGCATTCTGGATTGCCTTCATCCATGTCTCTAAATTCATCTCCATCTTGACATATGAGACATAGAGATATTGAATAATATGATTGTTTGCATATCTTGCAATGCAATAGAATGATCTCTCATAGTCAAATAATATGATGAGCACGAATTTTTTTCTCTAAATTTTCTGATGTTTAGATGTCTCGCTTAACTCCTAGTTATGACTTATGAGTATCAAGATCTGGACAGAAAATCTACTCACAAAATCGTAATCTACACTTTGATAATGTGATGCATTAGGGGTGAGCGTGGTACGGTATGATACGGTTTTTGCATCGTACTGATACCTTACCAAATATTTCAATTCAGATTAAGATTTTATATCTTTCCAATTTCGATCTTATAGTATTGGTTCGGTATCGCCGTATCGATAAATATTGGGATGAATATATATACATACTTAGTTTACACTATGAAATGTATAAAACTTTTTATTTACAAAAATCAAAAGTATATTCAAGTAAATAAAGATAAAAAAATTTAAAAATGAATAATTAAAAGCAAAAAATGCTTATAAAACTTAGTTTAATTTATACTTAGTATTTCACAAATAAAAGAGAGTGAATGATAATAAAATAGCATTTTAAATATTTGTTAATTTTTTTATATTCATCTATAAAAAATTAAAATTCATATAAAAATTTATTTGTAATTCATCTACACTTGAACCAAATTTTCAAGATCAATTCATTATTTTGTGAAAAAATATAAAAACATTACTATTTTATAACATATTTGTATATATGTTCGGTTCAGAATTTTTCGGTATAAAAACTTACTTCGTACCGATTCCAAATATTGGACCAGCCATTCGGCTCAGTACGGCACTGTTCTTTTTTGGTACTTTATTAGTTCGGTATTTTTTCGGTTCGGTAATCTCGCTTTTTTGGAGAAATTTCGTGATCGGTTTGGTACTTGCTCACCCCTACGATGTATAAACAATATAATAAAAAGAAATCACTCTAAATGAGATCAAAACATAGAAAAAGTACCAAAATAGGAGTGTTATGTTTAGAAATCATCCTAAATAAGACTAAAACATAGAGAAAAGTACCAAAATAGGACTTTCATGTTTTTTTCGAAATAGGATTTTGCACTGTGGTAATGTAACTTTGCATTGTGGTAATGTGGCAGTGTACATGTGCAAATTACTATACTTTTTTGGTAATGTATATGACCATGTTTGGTAATGTAAGTCCTATTTCGGGAATAAAAACATGGAAGTCTTATTTTGGTATATTCTCAATGTTTTAGTCCTAGTTTGGTCTTTCTCCCTTTTATGTTTTAATTTTCTAAATAGGGGTTCGCATTGTTGTAATGTGGCACTGTACATATGCATTTTACGTCATACATGGTCATGAATCATGATTGGTAATGTAAATGCATTTTAACTTGTATTTTGAGAATAAAAACATGGAATTTCAACTTTGATATATTTTCAATGTTTTATTTCTACTTTAGTCTTTTTCCCTGTGATAAAAACAAAAGTACTAAAGTCTAGAACTAGATGTGTCTTTATATTAAAATTAAGAAAGTGAAATTTAAATCGTGTAAGTGAAGCTAAAAATAATTTGGGTATGTTTGAAAATAGCGTTAGATATTAGTGTTAGTGTTTTGAAAAAGATATTTACGGGGAGCATTTAGGATTAGCGTTTTTAAAGTTAATCTATAGCGTTAAAATTTTATCCAAAACACTAATGATAATTGAAAACGTTATTCTCAAACAGCTCTTTATTTGAAATCCATATTACGAGGTTTAAAATATGAAGTATATTGATATGAAAAAAGATTTGAAACATATAGATAATGTAAAATTTGCACTAAATAGGACGAAAACATAATGACTTTCCCAATGTAGTACTTAAACTTTTTTATTCCCTAAATAGAACTTCATAATGACCTAGTGGGAAGAATAATGTCCAGTAATGATGGACATTTACTTGAATAATGACTACTTGATAATGACCAAAAGTCCTACATTGAGAAATAAAAACATATGGTCCTATATTGGTAAAGTCATTATGTTTTAGTCCTAATTAGGTAAATTTCTCATAGATAATATGTGTAGTTTTAAAAAAAATTATATTTATTATAATTATGAATATAAAACTGTTCTAAAATTTGAGTTAAATAACTACTATAGAAATTAGAGTCTAGGATTTAATTACATTGAGTCATGGACTTGAGTTTAGGATTTAATGTGTTCATCTCATCCTGCTTACACCGTGCATAGTGGGGCGTGGAATTTTCCACTGGCGCCAATCACGGCTCTAATTACAAAAATCATTTCAAATAGGGTTAAAACATAGAAAAAATATCAAAAATAGGAGTTTTATATTTTTATTGCCAAAATAAGACTTAGACTGTGATAGTGTGACATTGTACATGTGCACATTACTATATTTTTTGATAACGTATATAAAAAATGGTAAATGTATGTGATATTGGATTATGAACCCTAAATTCTTAATTACCGTTATTTATGTTTATGTCTGAAAAAATGGTAAATGTATGTGAACTGCTTCTCATAGATGCAGAATATCTGTTTTCTATTTAAATTTCTTGCCTGCTTTGTATCATGTTTTTTCTGTCTGAAGTATTACTTTTTGTTCTTCTATTATGAACCCTAAGTCCTGAATTATGTTTATTCCATGTTTAATTTTTAAAAAATGGCAAATGTATGTGAACTGCTACTCACAGACGCAGAATGTCTGTGTTCAGTGTTGCTTCCTTACATGCTTCGTATCATGTTTTTGCCCATTTATTACTATCATATCTCTAATAGAAGTACTACGCTAAGGTTATTAGTTTTCTTTGCTCTCTTATATCCGGTGACTATGGCAATGACGGATGTTTATTTTGTAGGTACAATAACATGTCACTTTTGATTCCCACCAAAGATCACTTCCCTGCGCAGTATTCGGCTTGTGGAGAACTAGAAGATGCAGTGGCTATAGTTAGGAGCAAATTGAATGTAGAGAATATGGTGAACTTTCGAAAAATGCCATTTGGTCATTTCATGGATGTGCGGAAGCTCCAATTTTCTGGACAACTCATCCATATCCTTATGTTACATCTCGTTCGCCAACAACCTGAAGACGAGATGCGGTTTATAATCAATGGTACTCTTAACAAGTTCACTTTTGAAGATTTCTGTCGAATAACAAATTTGCCGACTTCCAAGTCATATCCAAATTTTAGCAATGTGAAGGATTCGTCCGAGACTATTCACAAAAAGTATCTCGGAGGGGGCACAGTGAAATGCACCTTCGCGCACTTGCGGAATATGTTTATGACTGCGGAGGAAGATGTACCCGGCAGTGATTTACATAAGCTTGCCTCGTTGTATTTTGTTGAGCATGTGCTACTAGCGAAAGATAGAGGTACATGCATTGATGCCTCCCACCTGGAAGCAGTTGATGACCATGACGTGTTCATTGCATACCCGTGGGCTTGGGAGTCATACCTCTTGACCGTGCGGCATCTGAAGGGAATGATGGATAGCCAACCGGAGAAATTCCAAGAAAAGAAAAATAACAACTCCAATTTGAAGTCTTGGAAATATTCTTTGTATGGGTTTCCACTTGTTCTACAAGTAAGTTAATTCATTTTTCTTCCTCTATACTACATATTTTTATATGATGTTTCATAAAAAGTATTGATTTCCACACTGTCTTGTTTTCTCAGATTTCGGGATATTTATAAAACAGACACTTCTAGACTAGGACATGGAAAACCCTAACACTTCTCGCCTAGGCTATGAATAAAACAGACACATCTGTTTGTGTATATTTATAAAACAGAATAAAACATCTGTCTGCCATGAATAAAACAGACACGTCATCTGTCTGACATAAATAAAACAGACACTTCATATATGGCATCATAATTCGAAAACTTCATCCCAACATCAGGGACAAGGCATACAGGGACTGGGAGTTCAGCACTTCTTCGAACATTGCCATCACTTTCATTCTCTTCATGTGTGGACAAGTTACCCACGGGCGGCATGTTCAACACCGCTGTTCCTGGACAAACATTTCCAGCATCAGATTACATACTAATGAATCTGAACGCTCATTCTCTTCGGGGATCGGTATTTCTGCAAATTAATCTTACGTAAGACAGTTTCTCCGAGACAACCATCAATTCCGTGTTCTTCAACACATAGCTCTCTGGATATGTCCATCTCAAAACCTAGAAAACAATATAATACCTTAGTATTAATGATATTTACCATGAGGGGGTGATATAAACTTGAAAATTACAATGCCCCATTGTGTTGTTGTTTTCCTCGCACCCATCCAACATGTCAATGAAAGAGATGTCAAGTACAGGATCTATGTCATCAATGTCTATTAAATCTGTCAAAGAACA